AGTGAAGGATCTGGTTTTGGGTCCTGCACAGACCTGCTGTGCCTGAGCTCCAGACAGGGAAGCATTTGCAGGTCCTGCCTTGCTGCTTCCCTGTTCCCCAGGGCTAGCATGGGGAGAGCTCCATTTTGGACTATCTTTGCAGCTTAGGAAGCATCAAGCTCTCTGGGTGTGCTGTTACATCTGGAGCTGGTCTCTACTGGTGGCTGTGGCACTGGGAATCTCTGCCTGGGGCAGCTGTTGCTCCTGGCTGGTGTGTGAGGACAGCTCTGGAAGCTCTGGGAGTGAATGACCGGGCTCTCCCTGAGGTGTGAATGGGCTGTGGCAGCAGGGAGCAGGAGCCAGGTGCCACAGGGCTGAATTCCTGCTCCACACACTTCCTATTTGTCCAGCACTCACATTCCTGGTTTATTAGCTGAAGACACAACCCACTCCAGGAGAGCAAACAAAAACCTGACCCAGCTCCCAGGTTGTGCAAGGACTGAGCACTGAGGAACAGTGTGGGTTTGTGTCCAGCACGGCCACGCTGCTCGGAGCAGGATCAGCGGGGGATTGAGGAGCTATGGGGGAGGCTCACGGGGAGGGATGTTCCTTCTTGCCTTTACAACCAGAGCTGGGAGAAATCTGCCAAATTATTTTTCACCAAACAACCCAAAGTGGTGTTTTCCAAACTTCCCGTAGCTGGTAATGACATTTTTTGAATGTCAGAATACAATAAGTAAGATTGGGAGAACCCTGATTTAGTTAAAGATTAATTTGCTTTACTTGGGGATCAAAAAAATTCATAATGAAAAGTTGGTAGTTTTTTGGGTTTGTTTGTTTGTTTGTTTTCATTGTTATTAAGTACCACAGCTTTTTTTCCCAAGGTAATTGGGCACATCCAAAATGCCACTTCCATTTAGGAAAATGTTCCTTTGAGTAAGGTCTGAGCAAGCTCTGAGCAGTTACTCCATCCAAGGAGAAAACTTACCCTCAACAGTTTTGAAGTGGCAAAGAAAAAAGGTTCCCTGGAGATGCTGAGCAGAGTCAGAGGTGGCAGATCCCTCCCTACAGCATCCCTGTCACTAACTCCCATCCCAAATTCCCAGCCAACAGCACGTGGAGCAGTGCCTGCTCCTCCCAGTAGCTCCAGTCAGGGCTGAGCTGAGCCAGTGTGTTCCCTGCCTTACCCACCGCTGGGGTTTGACCTGCAGGAACCATCAGGAATGTTGGCTTCCGATTTTTCTTCCAGCCCTGTTTCCAGTTGGAGTATTAAATGTCCAAGGCTTTGAATAAAGGGGTCACCCACACGGCAGCGTCGGAGGGGAGCCGGGTAATCTGAACCTGGAATCTCTTGTGGGAAAGGGACCTGAAGAAAGGAGCTGAAGTGGCCCTGAGGGAGCAGTGCAGGAGGACAAGGGACTTATTCAGGGCTGGCAGTGGAGATGAGGAATTAATGGCCTGGGCAAGGAGGCTGGATCTTTGCTGGACCTCAGGCTTTCTCTCCAGTGAGATGAAAGCTTTAAAGACACGATGCTGAGTGGCACCATTCTGTGCAGCCCCTGTTGGGAGACAAGGGGGTCTGTGGAGACTTCCAAGAGTCAGTTCGTGACCACTGAACATAATTTACTCCTTCTCTGTCGGTGTGTTCTGCCTGGCCAGGGCCAAGCAGCCTCCTGTGGAGCCTCTCTGCCCGTGGCTCCCCAGGGAGATGATCCCTGTCCAGGGCCAGGCCGGGCAGGAAGTGGCTCTTCTCTTTGTGCTGGTGGCCCGTGTCCTGTTACGGCGCCGAGGCCTGGCTTGGGTTACGGGGGTGCAGTGTCGAGTGGCTGCGCCTCAGCACCGCGCTCTGCAGCCTCACTCAGCCTCCACAGTCCCTCTTCCAGCCCTGTGCCCTGTCAGGTTCTGTTCTTTCCCACAAATGAGTGTACTGAGCATGGAGCAGGCAGGCTGTACCCCGCGGGCCCGATCTCACAGGTTTTCCCGAGGTGCGGCTGAGCACTGCAGGGACAGACAGAGCCAAACAGAAAAACTGCTGCTTCCCACAGCCCCCTGAGAAATCACTGTCACATCGAACTGCCCTGGGCTCAGCAGCTTCTCCTGGCTGTGCTGCCTGATCCCTTCGGAGAGCCAGCACTGTCTGAGCAGCCGTGGGAGCAGCTGAGGGCACACCTGCAGGAGCCCACCTGAGACCCCGCACTAAGGGGTGGCAGCGGCTTTGCTGCTGTGGGGAGCACTGGGCAGAAACACTTCCTGCCAGCCCCTCCCGTGGGCTCTGCCCCAGCCACGCTGGTTTCCCCCCCAGGCTTTCATCCATCTGTAAGCCGAGAAGCCACCTAAATTATTTGTGGGGTGCATTAACATTTATTCAGCCGCTGGCTGTGCGGGGAGGAAGGTGGCAACTTGATAGGTGCCAGCCATTCCCCTGCTGCCAGCTGAGCTGGGGCTCAGCTCCTGCAGCCACAGACCTTTCCAGAATGTGGAGCTGAATGAACGGGATGCTGTTGTGCTAAGGGGGGAGGAAAGGATGAGTGTCCTGCTCCCCTGGGAGCTGGGAAACTCCACTGAGGGTGGCTGACCAGTTAGAAAGCATATCCAGCTCTGGTAGGGATAGAGCCAGGGGAGGGTATCTCGGGGATTTAAGCCAATTTCTTTGCAGAATTCCCTTTGGTTATCTCTCCCTATCCCTCTGTGCTCACCAGAGTGAAGAAGACACGGTGGTGGGCAATGTACCTAGTGACCAAGGCAATTTCAGCAGGCCAAGGGTGACACCAGGGCCGCGAGCCTGTGTCCTGTGAGGACCTTCACACTATGTCCTGGAGCCCCCAGGGCAATCCCCCACCTTCATCACCCAGTTGCCTTTCTGTGCACAGCCTTGAGCTGCTGCTCTGCTCCAGCCTCACCACCACGATTTTAAATATCCCTCTGCAGGATCTCACCTGAGGTGGGTTTAATATTCCCAATAAGCCCCTGTTGATCCCAGGGACACCTTGGCCCTCAGGTAACATTGTGTACCTGCATTTGGCACCCCTGTCACATTAGGCCAGTAGTGTTGTAGAAAAAAACATCTTTGGAAAGCTAAATCCAAGGCCTTGTTCACCAAGAAATAATATTTAGACACCTGTGTGCATTGGAGCATCTGTGATCATTACCCAGCAAGTTTTAAATGCAGTGGATGCCTGTGTGCTGGGAATCTGGGAGTCACTGCACTCATTTCTTGGAGGGCTGGCAGTGTACAGACTGAGGGTCCAGCCTGATTGTGCTGGAGAAAAATGGGAATATGGAAAGTCTTGTCAGCTCCAAACATCCCTAAGCAGCATCATAATCACATAATGAAGGCCAGCTCGGCTTGGTGTGATTTGTTTCATTATAAAACATAATTCCCCCTGGAATTTTAATTCTTGCCTGCCTTCTACCCCCAAATGTGCCAGCTCACAGCAGAAATTAATGCTGGGGGAGGGAGGATCCGAGCGGGAAGGGGACCAAGACATTTAAATATTGTTTTGCACGTGCTGAGTGCCCTTTCCTGAACTAAGGGGTGGGCTTCCAGTGCTGCCAAGCAAAATCCCTCTGGATATGCTGGTGCAGGAGCTGAGCTGGCCAACAGCCTCGGATTTGTGCAGGGAATGCCTGCAGGGCTTGTTCTGTGCTCCAGCAGAGGCAGGGAAATAATAGGCAGCTGCTTTGCTCCTCTTGAGGATTTGGCCCAGGGACGTACAGTCCTCATTTAAGGTTTGCTGGAATTTGGTCAGAGAGGTCCCAACCCTGGTGAAATTTGCTTTTGGGGTGTGTTCATGCGAAAAAATGTAAAAGATGGAATTCTGTGTTGAAAAGTGCTTATTTGAGAGCTGTGTTTGTTCTAAAGGCGGTCTGTCAGCCTTTCCCCTGGCTGGTTTTTGTGGCAGAGGCATCCTGGGGTGCTCCCTGCTCCCAGTGCCATGGCACCATCAGCCTTGGGCTCAGCTTCTTTATCATGTGTCCTTCCATCTCCCCCACTTGGCACCTGCCCATCCTGCAGCATCCAGGGCAGCCCAAATTTCTGCTCTACCTGTATCCCTATGTTTCATTTATTGGCAGCTAATTGAAGTTAGTTACCAATGGCTTTGTTTAACACTAAGTACAGCCCCTGCCATCCCACTTCTCCCCAGTGAGATAAGTCACTTGTGGGACACTGCTCCAGGCTACTCCACTTGGATAAACCTTCAGCCAAAACCCTGTGGCAACCAAAGTCACTTCCCAGGGACAAACAAACCACCTTGGCAGCTTGTAGCTGCTGAGGGTGATTTCTGATCAAATAGATCTCCAAAGAGAAACACACACATCCTGTTCATTCCCAATTAAACATCAGCCGGGTAAATCTCAGCTCTCAGGAGGAAGAGTTTGCAGGCTCAGACTCCCCAGGAGCTGCGAGTGTTCCCCCAGACAACTCCCATCTTCCCAGGGAATAACCGAAGGAGGCGATTTCTCACAAGACTTTCTGCTTGTTCAGCCCACCCCACAGGCCAGATCTTCCCCTGGGGAACATTGAAAGAGCTGCTCAGATCAAGACTAACTGTTTTTGGTGTGTAAATGTTCTCTGTGGTGGTTTGTGAACAAGCTGCCTCTTGGGCTGTGCACAAACACCCATCGTACCCATTCCCTGCACTTCCAAAGAGCCAAAGGGCACTGGAGTTTTCATGGTTCACTGAGTAGTTAGAAGAGGATAATCATTAACCTGCTGAGGACAGTCTTTCTTTTGTGAGGTCCTTTATCAGGGGATCTTGCTAACAGACCTGGGGAGGATCTGGATGAGGGGAAGCAGTGTTCCGTTCCCACAAAATCCCAGCTGTCCCCAGTGCGGGAGGTGTTGGCACAGACATAAGATGTGTTTTTGCCGCCAGGTCAGGCCAGCCTGTCATGTATGGAGCTCTGGATTCATGTGGCTTTGGCTGAGTTCCAGCCTAGAACTCCCCAACAGCCCGTCCAGCTCTCCAGAGGTGCCTTTGCTACAGGAAACTTGGGATGTGTTTGTGGACACGACTCACCGTACAGGTCCTTTGCGCTCAGCTTGGAGGCTCCGTCAGCTTTGCCCATGCTGCCACTGGAAAAGGAGGAGGGTACAAATCAACCATCAGCTCCCAGATCTTTTGAACATCAGCTTTCACACAGCAGTTCTGCAGCTGTCCCAGAGGGACCAGCCCTTCCTTTCCTCCCCATCACATCCATCGGATGTGGTACATCTCCGAATTACCAGGGAAAGCATTTCCTCGTGGACTGTGCAGGCGCTCCCTGTGCAACCCTACCTGTTATCCACACCACAGGGACATGTCACTGAGCCCTGCACTGGAAACAGGAGATGGAGCAGCCCAGCCAGGCCTGTCCCACTAGAGTTACCTGCACACGGTGTCCTGGGAAGGACAGTGCTTCCAGAGGGGCTGCTTTAAGGACCCCGGCTCCCAGTGTGCCATAAGGGGGGGTGTTCCAGGGAACAGCCCAGGTAAATGGAGACCCCTCCGTGTTATGCCTGAGTACCCCTGAACCTGAGGCAGTGTAAGAGCCAAGATTATGATCCCTTCTGAATGGACCTGTTGGAGATGTACCCCTTTGAAGGCAGGTGCTCAGGTATAGAACATATCCCATGTAAAAATGTGGGAGGACGGAACTGTGTGCAAACAGCTGGGTTTTGGGGTGTCAGGTTCCTAAGCACCACCATGTAGGGCCACCCCCATGCCTGGGTCATGGGTAGGACTGAGCAGCCAGGAAATAACAGCGTTTCCTCTGGCAGAGGAAGATCCAAGCAGGATCTGAGGTGCTTTGGTCAGGCTGTCTGGCACGGAGCAGTAGCCTGTGGGTGCACAGGGACACCTTCTCCTCTGTCACCGTGTCCCCCTGAGGGCAGACAGCAATTCATGGTGCTCTTACACTGTGCTGGAAGGAGGGAGAGACCTGGTGGCTGTGGCTCCACTGGGAAGCTGCCCTGGGCTGCTGTAGCCCCAAGGCTGAAGTTGAAGAGGCTCCTGGTGTCCCTCTCCTCTCTCCACCTGATGTGGCCTTATCAAACCACAGCACACAGGCAGGTGATGTGTGAGGCAGGGCCAGGTTCTGAGGTGCCCAGGAAGGGTGAAAGAAACACCAGGCATTTTGGGGACAAGCGTGAGCACCTGGAGCATCCCCTGATGGTAGGAAGGAGTGGTGGAGGAAGCCCACCATGGAGATCCTTACTTGGATGAGCCGGGGTTGCTGCTGAGGGATCCCTTGTGACTCATGTTGCTTCACAGGCCGGGCAACTGCAGCAGAAGCAGAAGAGACAGGGTCAGTGGTTATAGAACAGGCTGTCAGGTGATTTATCCCTGTGCATCCTGCCCTTCCTGCTCCGAGCTGGGGTCTCCGAGCAGATGGAGCAGTCGGGTGAGCACGGGGGGGATTTCCCCCTGCTCCCAGACACCTCTCCCCGCTGTGACCTGGGCTGGAGGTGACACATCTCAGGATGCTTTCTCAAAACCTATTTCCTCTTCTCGCTCTTGCCCATCCCTTCCAGGCACACCCCAGATCGGTGGCATTCCAGCACGTCTTTCCCCAGCAGTGCTGCCCTGCCTGAGGTCTAACAGGGACTGAAGTGACCTTTGCCTTCCCAGCGTGTCCCTGTGCCCGTGTGCTCGTGGCTGTGTGTCCCGAGTCATTTGTCATGCCTAGAGTGCCATTCGCTTTTGTTATGTGGTCATTTTAAGCTCTACACCAGCTGTTCAAGTACCTTTATGAGGGGATTACCCTCATAAAGAAAAGTGGAATAACTGTGAATGCTGCTCCACTGGCAGCACAAGGATGGAGGAAATTGGGCTGAGGTGGCTGAGTGCTTGGTGAGGGGCAGACAGGCTCAGTTCAGATTTTTTTCCTCCTCTTTCAGATGAGAATCATAAATAATGTGGGAGAAGATGTGAGAGAGATCCAGGCACTGCTCTGACAGCAGAACTGCAAGGCTGGGGGGAGGGGGGGAAGGGGAAAACAAGGTATAAAAAAATCTCAGGAAATACTTTGTATTGGCATCCAAGATCTTCACCTCTGCTCCAGTGTGTGAGCTGAAGGGCAGCCAAGGCAAAGTCTGAAAGGTTTCTTAGTTCACTTCAGGAAAGCTCAGGGGCACCTCTGTGCCTAGGTTGGACCCTGCTCACCTCCTGATAAGTTTGTCAGAAATCAAAGGTTTCTTTAAAATACTCATTGTTGGCTTGAAGGAAGAAGTTGCTCAATGTCCTCAGTGGGATTTCCTGCCAGGGGATCTCTGAGTGTGCTTGGCATGTGCCAGGGGCTGCCCTGACAGCTAGGGGCAGGCAGTGGAGCTTCCTCTCAAGGGTCGGTCTTCACTGGATTTAGGCTAAAGTGTGTGTAATCCCCAGGGAATACTTAGGAGTCATCCCTGCCACCTGGGATTTCCCCTCTGCTGCAGGGCTTGTTGTATCATCAGCAGACCTGCCCTAGATTCCTTACGTATCCGTTTTTATGCCGTGTGTTGGAAACACTCATTTGTGGTATTTTGCTCCATGTGTTTCACCCTGAGGTGAGGGCAGAGACAGTTTTCTCACTGATCTTATCAGCCCTGCCAGAGGGATGTGTTTATGGAGATGTAGCTCTTCAGGTGAAGCCGCACACGGAGTGAACGGAGAACCCCGGCACATTTTGGGCTCGGCCTCACAACTCGCAGCCTCTTTACTGTCCCAGTAACCCTCCTAAGCACTGAGGCACTGCTGGAAATGACTCTCACATGCATTTTGGAGCGAGTATATTCTTCCTTTTTCATCTCTCTTGTGGTCAATGCTGAAGTCCCTACACACACTTATGTACAGGTCTAAATTCTTATTCACCTTAGAATAGAAACTTGGTGTTCCGCCAACCCCTCTGAGTGTAATAAAACCCATCCCCGTGCCCAGGCTTGGGTACCTGTGAATTTTTCCTCCCTTAATAGCTGTCTACTGGTTTCCTTTTACAGTCCTCAAACTGTTCCTATCTCCCAGATCTCCGTGTGCATTAGCATAAGGTACCTGGAAAAGGGAACTTGTGCTCTTTAAAACCCCGCTCTGCTCTCTTTCCTCTGCACCACCCAATCACTTGAGTCCCATGGAGCTCACAGCTGGTCCCAGGCCCCAGCTGTGAAGCAACAGGAGGAACCAGGGATGCAGCCATGGTCACCCTGGTTTTTGCTTCTCCTTCCCAAACTCTGTTCAAAAGAAAAACTGGGATCTGCTCTTGGAGAGACCCATCTGGTCAAACCCTACATGGCAGTGGCAGAAGGTCCTGCTCGGCTTTGTGGGTGAAGCAGGACCAGCCCTAAAATGAGGCAATTCTTCATCTCGTGGTGGTCAATAAAGTACTGATGGGATAAGCTGGGCTCCCCCCATGAAGGCAGGATAAGCTAGCCTGGAAGGCTGTCCTCCCTTTCAGGGTGCCTGTGTCCCAAAAAGGCCATGGAACTAGAAGCAGTGTAAATGGCTGCCCAGTCAGCACGTCCTTATCGTGCTGGGCTCCCTTTTCTCTGGTTTTTCCTGCTGTTTTGCTGCCTTGCCCTTTGCCCAGCTCTCCCCGCTGTGCCCAGGCTGTGGGACGTAGGGAGGGTGTGGTGTGTGCTGGCCAAGTTAAACCAGGCCAGAGCCTCGTGCCAGAGCTTTTAATTCAGCGTAAATTACCTGATATTAATTGACTTCGAGCTGGAGGACTGGGAGGGGGAAGGGCACGTTTCTAAGGGCTTGGAGACTTTATAATGAGTTTGCTAAATCAAGAGACAACTGGGCTTGAGGAAGGTGAGGCAGGGGCTGAGAGCACTTCCCCTTCAGTGTGGGCAGAGCCAAAGATGGGAGAGATGAAGCTGTGGGCTAGTGGCTGGCGTTCCCCAGGTTCCCTCTCCCCATGGGAGCATCCCTAAGAGCTCCTACAGTCTGCAGCCTCTTCCAGATGTTGTCTTCTCCCTGCCCTGATTAGAGGGTTCCCATCTCCCTCTTATCTCCCAGCAGGTGTGGCTGCTTCCTCCTCCCCCAGCGGGGTCACTGCAGGGCAGGAGGAGAGAGGCAGGTTTTGCCGTGCGATGTGCGGCTGTGCCGGCGTCATCTTTGACTCATCCTCAGCAAATCCAATTTTGGGACCATCACCTGCCCTTCTGCTGGTGCAGGGCAGTGTTTGTGTGTGTCACCAGGCAAGGCAGCTCACTGTTGCCCAGTGTGGAATGGGATAGGGACTCCAGGAGCTCAGGCGGGCTCACATTCTGGTCGCTTCTACTGGAGCGACTACAGGGAAGTACAACTGCACGGCTAAAGCCTGGCACTGTGATCTGTCCCAGGACAGGCGATCCCAGAGGGAATTAGGGAGGCCAGCACAACTCAGTGCTGAAGGACATGGAGGTGAGTGAAGTCATCTTGTACTTTAAAGCACAGGAAACCTCACTCCCTGACTTTCCGGCCAGTCTTATCCTTGGAGGTCAAGTATCCTCCCGAAGACACACGGAGCCGTGACGGGAGCCTGGCATTGTCTGTGCTGCACTTCTGTGCTTTTATAGCAAATGGATGCTGGCCATGCATTGTTTGGACTTTCCCTGAGTCTCTTTGAAGAGGGAACTGTGACATTGATCCCTCTTCTCCCAGGGTGGGGAAGCTCTTTGAGAGGGGAAAGACTAATATCTCTTTCTCCTCTTTGGGCTGATTTCTGCTATTGTTGTACTTTATTTTTATTAGGTATAGTTGTCTCTTATCTGCTGTGGTCAGACATTTTTGTTCTTATAGGACATGGAAAGAACATGAAAAATTCTGGATTTGGGTAAAAGCTGGACAATTTGAAAATGTGAAATCCTAGTGGGTTTTTATGGCTATTATTATTATTATCATCACTGCCAATAGCAGCAACATCTGGTGTCTGTGAGTGCTTTTCTTGATGGGTCTAAGACCTTTAAGACTGAGATTGGGTTTGTTGGGATCAGAGGATATTAGGAAGTGATTGTAGCAGCAGGGAAGTGCTGGTCAAAACACTACAGCTTTTGCTGGAACAGAATTAAAATACGGTGAAACCCCCAAACCCTTAAGCTAAGTGACCTAGGAGGAATAGCAAGTTTTTCCAAGCATGCTCTAACCCAGTTCTAACAGACCTTGTCTGTGTTTCCATCAGTCATCCCATGGAAATCTGCCTGGGGTGACAGGACTTCCGAATTCCCTGTCAGCCATGGGGAAGGGAGTCTCTGCACCCAGAGATTCTGGGGCTTGGGCAGGGGTGAGATACATGTGATGAAAACGTCCTGCCGGGGTGAGGGGTCCGATAGGAGGCGGGTGCTGCTCTCCGTGAGCGTATCCCAACCCCTCGGGATGGGCCAGGCAGGAATGCTGGGCTGGCAACAGCCTCGGGGAGTAACATAAAGCGTCAGGGAGCAACACGAGCTGGGCACCACACGATGTTATCTTTTACACTTCCCAGGCCAACAAAGCGCTGTCTGTTGGGGCTGCTGGGTGTTTCCATCTGGGAATGTTGTGCTGGAGAAAGCTGCCTGATGGGCTGAGCTGCAAAGCTCAGGCTGCTGAGACCCACAGGAGAGCAGAGGGAGCACTGACACCCTGGCACCCTGGTCCGTGTGTCCTGCACTGTTCCCTGCTCCAGACAGCCCTCCCAGCCCTGGGAATATCCCACTGGCTCCCACAATCTGTCCTGCTCGCTGGGATGCATTGGAAGGATCTGGCAGGTTGGGAAGGCCACAGTCCACTAACAAAACAGCTTTTGGGCATCTGTGTGCTCAGGGCTGCTCATGTCATACCAAGAGTCCTAAATTCACACAAACTAGTTTAGATCTCTAAAAGTCTTTGTGAGATGAACCCTGGGGGCCCGTGGTTGACCTGAGAACTTCACATGGGTCTCTGGTCCAGCCTCCTAATGATGGAACCACCCTGCTCCTGCTTTTAGTTGCTTGTGGAGCGTGTGGAGGTGCAGGGTGTGCGTGGCACGTCCCACGTTACAGCAGTGACAGTCACCAGGTATGACCTGCCAGGGGTCTGGCAGGAACACTCCCTGCTCTGCACATCGGATTTTTCACATTGTGGAGATTCTCCAAAGACAAGCACCTGGATAAATATAGCCCAGCCCAACAGGTCTGGGCAGAGAGGAACCAAGTGTTCTTCAGCCTCTTCAGTGGGAGAAATGGCAGCAGCTCTTTTGGACTGAGGCACTTCAGACCTACAGCCACCCTTGGCCCAGCTTTGGTGGACACTGACCACCCTTGTTTGAGTCCCCTCTGGATTTACTGTTGGACCCCAGGGGGCTGAAATGG